GGTGAGCCTGAGGGGGCGCCGCGGGAGGCCCGACTCCTTGGTCAGCTGCGGGCCGGCTGTACCCGGGAGTCCCGGCTGGGGCCGGCCCTGCCAGGCCTAGCGGAGGGTTGGGCTGGCGGAACCCGCAGCCCCTCTCGCCCCCGGGTGTTCGTGGGCTCGGGGCTGGGGATTGCAGGGCTGTGCGAGCCGGAGCTCCCCGGGTCCGGGATTGCAGCCCCCGGGCCGCGTGGCGATGGGTTTCGGGTTTAGGACTCGCTTTGAATTTTCTCCGTAGAAAGGTGCACGTTTAAAAAGAAAGCGTGTTTGAGAAAAGGTTCAGATAATTGATAGGTAGTTATGCAGATGTAAAAATGAATAAGAAGAAGAGCATGGGCTTCAGCAGCACTGTGCTGAAGTGGCAACTTTGGAGAAAGAATAAAAGGAAAAGTTGGAACTGATTTGGCTTCCCTTTAGAAACTGTTTTGTTAGTAAATACTACGAAAGTAAGTAGATCTTAAGAGTAATGTAATAAAAAATAAGGTATTAGGAAAAAAACAAGTTTAACTTAAAGTTTTATTTTTCTTTAATGGTCGAGACTGAAACAGCCAATGTCTGAGCTTTCCTTTAAGCAGGAATGATTCTATGATGTAGCTGTAGAAAAGCTCTTCGTGGACACGTGTAGAAAGAAGGTAGTAGCAATAAAATACTGTTTAAGTAAAAAGATGTAGTGGATTATTAATGTAGAGCGATAGGAGGCTTTAGTGACATTTTTCCCTGTGTCACAGCACACTTCTGCTGCTGCAGCGTTATTACCTGCCTTTTCTTGAGACTGCCTTTAGGAGCTGATTCCAGAATCTATTTTGATATTGCTTTAGAAGCTGTCAAAAGCAGGACTGAAGTGAAATGTTAATACATCTTTTCCTTGGCTTCAAAAAGCATTGGCAAAGGTGCATAGTGGTGAGTGGGCAGTAAGTAGTGATGTTTGCAGCGCTCTCCCAGGGATTTAGGGAGTAATTTTGGGTAAATCAGCGATGCTGCAGTGGGGAACAACCTAATAATAATGTTTCTTACCTTGAACTTATGACTGGGCCTTATTAAAATTGCCACACATAGTGGCTTTTTCAATTTGGAAAGAAAACAGATTGAAAGAGTCCAGACAACAATTGAATGGTTTGGTACTATTTTAGTGCAGTTGTATTTAACTCCCCTTTTCTTATTCTTTCAGGACGAGGATTTGCATTTCGGAGGAAACAAAAGATTGAACGACAGTACAGGAGATTGTTGAAAAAGAGAAGACAAGTGCCTGCACAACAGGGTGATCAGTTTACTGATACTTATCCAGAGCACTTGAAACATCTTTACCTTGCAGAGGAAGAAAAGCTTAAGAAGCGGCGACGCAAGACTCCAGATGATTCGGTGTCATCAGAAGAAAAGCTTAACAAAGAAGCAGAGTAAGTTTCCAAAATCTTTTAAAAAAGTAATTTTTTCCATTGCTAAATAAATATTTTAGATCCTAACAGTTCACATGGACTTTAGTGTGGTAATTTGCTTTACTAAAAATGCCATTGTGTCTTAAATATTTTTTCCTGGTGGTTAGAAAAATAAATGACAGTGTAACTAGTTTTGTGTACTTGAGACGATGAGGCGTCGTTGCACAGTATTACCACCAGATGGAGATGAGAATAAAGCAAATTACTTTTTTTTTTGTTTTTTCCATAAGAGAGCAGTATTTCTAAATTAATGTTCTCATCTCTCTGCAGTTGCTTCCATATGTTTGAACTAGAAAGAGAGAATGCAGCTCTAAGCTAGTATGTCCAGGTTTTTAGCTCTGAGGAGCTTAAATTATGGAAGAAACTCTTTTAGGCAATCTTTAAGCTTCAGGAAACATCATCCATGTGGAGATACAGCAGATAAGGTGTATGACTAAAAGTTGTGTGTGCTCTGGTCTTTGGTGCATTTGGCATTGAAGAAGTTTAGTTTGTTGTGCTTTCTTGCTGGCTGCTTATGCATGGCCTGGAATGGTGTCAGGTATCATGTAAGAATGGTGCAAACAATCCATACAGTGTAGGAGGACGAGTCTTCTGAAACCTGTATTTGTAGTTAGCTTCCCTGAACTTGTAAAAAGCAGTGGAAGACTGTGCTGTGATTGTGCAGTGGCTGTAGTGTCTATGGTTTATGTCTGCTTGGTGATAATCAGTGTCTCAAGAACATGTACTTTTCCTTCCAGGTCAGTTGTGACTCAAGAGAAGTTTAAAAATAAGACGTCCAATCAGAAGGCAAAAGAAGAGTATGAGAAAATAAAGGCTGAGCATGCTAGAAAGAGAGAGGTACATTTAAACAGAATTTTTTCTTGATTTTAAACAAAGTCTAGATTAATGCCATTTCTGCCTCTCAGTCGTCCATCTGAACCCAGAGAAGATTGTAGGAGGTATTGGAACTCCTTCAGTCTTTTTCAACTTGACAGTGGTATTCAAAGCACACAGGCGTTCAAAGGATCCTTCTCTTTGTTCTTACTATTTTTGTCCTGCAGTTGCCAATAGCAGAATTTTATCATGTCAGTTGGTACATCAAGAGAAGCTTAGCGCTTGATATGCATACCCCAGTGGATTATATTAGACCTCTTAAATTTTGTAGAAGGCGAAGTAATAACAATACCATCGTCTTGTGCTGGAAAATGAAATACCCATTCTGTCTTTCATGGCATTATCATCATGCAGTCTTCATTCTACCTTTTTATGTACTTTGACCAACAGTGAAACAATTAAATGTAATAGTATCTGCAGTCAAAAATTTTAGTAATTATCTTCATTTGTATTTATTTTGAATTATTTTTATGGGACATACTGTAATATCATCATTTTGAAATAGTGCACTTGAATTGTTAATTTGAGAGATCCTTATTTAGCTACTGTTCTTTCCCAGGGCATTGTTTGTTGCACTGTAAAAGGGCACACAGTGTAACATTGTAGAAGTTGTGTAACTTCCTGGTCACATACTAAATTTCAGTAGCTACTGAATAAATATTAAATATCTATATTAAATATAAACTAAATATATATATATATTAAGTGTATAGCTGTGTAAAACATACTATTTCTTCAGTTCAGCTATGTTTAGTTTTATGCAAGCTGACCTGTGATTCTGGGTGAGTTACATGGTTATTCAGCTAATGGCTGCTTTTTTGCATATTAGCTACAGATTGTATCAAAAGAAATTAATGTTATGACCAACTTATTTAGAGAAGGTGAGAACAAGCCAAACCCCAGCAAGACAGCAGGGAGTATTCTCTGGGCAGCACATAGGAGTTGCCTGAGTGCAAGTGTTGGCATTTTTAGTTTTGCTAAAGATAATTAGGCAAAACAGGAGCTAACTGCCCAATAACAGTAATCATTTACATGGAGTTCTTAAGTGGCGCATGATGAAAAAGTAAAGTATGTACTTCACCATCATGTGTATATTAGCAAACACTGGATTTGCTGTTATTTATTTTGGGGAGAGAAACAAGCCTAAAGATGCAATTTTAGCCTCCTCGAAGGCCTTTTTAGGCCTGAAGAAAGCTAAGGTTTAGTAAAGATCAGAA